TTTGACAAACCGTTTTCAAATGCTAGTGGATTAGATTGTGGGCTACGTGTGGATGATATCAGATTTCAATTTTGAGAATTTCAATTTTTGACAATTTTTGAGCCTAAGTGTTGAGAATTGTTAACATTGTGAGCACTTTCTTGGCATGAGTAGCTTGAAGTGAGGAGCGGAAATTGTTCCAAATGTTGCGGAAGGTGCTGAAATTTTGCATTTAGACAAATATGCTAGATTACTATAGATTTTTTGGGCTGAACTCATCAGTAGTACGACTTATTTGATAAACATGTCTTCTTGTAGTGCAACAAGTTATAAGACTATGTTTGATATGTGGCATAAACGGAATGCTGAGCAATCTTATCTTAGAGTATTTGGATGTGATGCTTATGCACATGTTCTCAGGGAATGAAGGACTAAGCTTGATCCCAAGGCTACCTGTGTATTTCTCTTGATTATCAACCTGATGTCAAATAATATCGGCTTTGGGATCCTGTAGACTGTAAACTTGTGGTTAGTAGAGATGTTACTTTCAATGAGTCCTGATCATCAAAAGAGAGGAAGATTGTTGATCTTGCTACTAACAAAGCCTAGTTATCTTCCCCAAACATCATTGAGGGAAAGATTTTCCATGAAATTTTTCATGATGGGCCGCAAGGAGGTGCTCCACAAATAATGGGCAAGGTAGAAGAGCAAGAATTTGCTCCTGAAGAGAACCATGAGGAGCAACACAATGTTGGTGGGCCACGATCTGAACCAGCACATAGTGATCAACCAGAGTCTTCAACTGCAAGACCAACACGTGTTTGTCGTGCACTCAAAAGGTATGGTACTTGGTTTCATACTGAACATGATGTTAGAGACGAAGACCTACTTGTTGATGACTCAAGAGAAGCGTTGATTATGGAGAATGGGAGTCCATACTCTTATATTGAATCTCAATCAGTTCTAGAAGAACTTGATTGGGATGCAGCAATGCAAAAGAAAATGGTATCAATTCATGACAATTTCCATTGGGCAACTTGTGAAGTTGCCCAATGGAAATTGAGCTATATATTGCAAGTGGAGCTTCACGGTGAAGAAAATCTTCAAGGCAAAATTGGTGGCTAAGGGCTTTGAACAGAGGAAGTACATCGACTACACTGAGATTTTTTCACCAATTGCTAGGTTTTCAACTATATGCTTGTTGTGTGCACTTGTCACATTATTTGATCTATTCCTCAATCATAGATGTTGTTACAACATTTTTGCATTGAGCATTGGACGAAGTGATTTACATGAGACAATCGGAGGGTTTCTTGAAGAGAGAAAAGGAACTTTTGATTTGTCGGTTGCTTAAATCCTTGTATGGACTTAAGCAAAGTCCCTGACAATGAAACAAACATTTTGATTAGTTCATGCATACGCAAGGCTTCATACAAAGTGCATATGACCCTTGTGTATAGATGAAGCGTGTTAGTAACACAAGTTTTGGCTTCATATTACTCGTGTTGTAAATGATATGCTTATTGCTTCTAAGGATATATGTGAGATTATTCAACTCAAAGTCCAGCTCTGTTTTGAGTCTAATATGAAAGATTTAGGTCTTGCTAAGCATATTTTATACATGGAGATCCACAGGAACGAGTCATCAAGCAAACTTTAGTTGACACAGACGTGATAAGCAAAGAAAGTACTTGCTAGGTTTAACATGTTAAATGCTAAAGTTGTAAGCACTTCATTAGCTGTTGTAACACTAGGGTTTAAAGAGAGTTCATTCGAAGATAGAAACATAAACTTTGAAGATGATAGATATCAACAATGATTTTACTCTTTCTTATATAGCTCTCATCAACAAGTACAAGTACAAGGTGATAAGATCATATCATGTGGATGAATGACATGGTCGATCACGCTAACAAACACACGGATTGCTAACGTGGCGCTTCCAACTAACACACTCAATCCTTACCCAACAAGCACACGGATCGCTAACGTGGCAACTAACACACCTACTCTCTACCTACCAAGCACGCAGACCGCTGACGTGGCAACTATGACTAGTGCACACTAAAGGATCTATATCAAAATTTAGAGTAATCTCTACTTTAGTTCCAATTAACTAAAGATGGTTACAAACTTCATTTCGTCTTAAGACACAACGTCCTTGTTGCACATGTATTCAAATTCTTGAACTATCAACTGTGCATTAGCTAGATTTTTAGCTAGTTTTCAAGTTGATTCGTATGATGGATATCATTTTTATTGAACCAAATACTCTACCTTTGAATACTTATGGCCTCTAATCTGTTTCTTGAGGATATTTTTTTACCTCAAATTCCTATCGATCAACTATCAAAATTGATAAAGGAGGTAACACTTGTTGATTCGTGAATTGTTTTGATCATGGCGCATGTTTTTGCAATTGTGACACGTGAAATAAAGGATGTATTTTCATATGTTACGGAAGCTTTAACTTTGTATGACACTTCATCAACACGTTTCAATATTACAAAAGGACCAATGAATCTAGGTTTAAACTTTGATGTTTCTACCCGAGATAAATTTGTTGTGGATAGCCAAGCATAATCTTCAACTTGAAAAACTAACTTCATGACGATAAGCATCAGCATGCTGTTTTTATTGATTTTGAGCAATCAACAACTTTTTCTTTGCTTGATGTAGGCATCGGTGGATATGTTCCACAACTCGTTGACCGCGACTACCTTAGTTGAAAACTCCTCTCCTTTCAAAAATTTCATCAAACTTGATGAAGTAATGAGATGAGCACCATACATGAAGTAAAATGAAGACACCTTTGTGGATACATTTACAAAATTGTTATATGCAAATTCCACAAGAGGCAAAAGAGTATCCCACTCTTCTTGCTCCTCTAATGTGAATGCTTGTATCATATCCTCTAAAAATCTATTGGCTCTCTCTGTTTAATCATAAGTCTGAGGATGGTAAGTTGTTGACATTGCTAATTTGGTTTTGAAAAAACTAAACAAAGTTTTCAAAAACAAACTAGTGAAACGAATACTTCTATCAATGATTAAGACTTTGCTTAATCCATGATTCACAAAAATAGCATCTAAGTACAATTGAGCAAGTTGTGGAGCTATCATTGTTTTTGTGGTTGGTCTGATGAGAATCACCTTGCTCAATTTGTCCACAAAAACCACCACTGAATCATTTCCTAACAAAGTTTTTGGTAACTCACATACAAGATCCATGGTGACATGTTCCCATTACTGTTTGACATTAGGAAGATGCTATAAGGAACCAGCTAATATTTGATTACTTGCCTTGTTGTATTGACAAGCAACACAACTTTGAACATAAGCCTCCACGTTCTCTCATAGTTTGGGCCAAAAGTAAACTTGATGGATGCTCTCTAAGGTCTTCTCCACTCTCACATGACCTACAATTGGTGTATTATGATTTTCTCATAATATCATTGTGCGTTACTCTTGGTCTTGTGGAATCAATATACACTGTTTGTAGACAGCCAAATCTCTAACTTTCTCTGCCCTTCCAGCTTGTAATGCCTTCATGATCTCTTCATACTACTTTGTGGCATATGTCATCTTGCTCCATCAATCTGCTTAAATCTTCACTTTTACAACATGATTCAAACAAGGCATGTGTGTGAGAACATCTGCACGTTGCTTCTGATACTCCACATACACAATCTTCATGTTGAAGCGTTGACGCCACTTTGTCCATCAAATTAATAGTTTAGATAGATACTTCTGAGTTTCAAAATAAACCAAGGATTTATGATAGATCTCCATCACGTATTTTTTATCACCCAAGTGATGCTTCCGGTGTTTGGTTGCCAACACAATAATCAAGTCCTTCCTTTCTGTTGTGTGATAATTTTGTTCCGCCGCCATCAACTTTCAAGAATAGAAAGCAACTAGATGTCATGCATCCTTCCATTCTTGTTGAAGTGTGCTAGCTACCATTGTACCTGATGCGTCAGTTTCCAGCTTGATATGACGGTTATGATCATATCTTTTGAGGATAGATGCGTGTAACAAAGCATCTTCAATGCTTGAAAAGCTAACTCTTGAGTTTTTTCTCATCTTCATTTTTGATCTTTCCCTAACATGGAACTCAAGGTCTGAGCTAGGCGAGCAAAACCTTTCAAAAATCTACGATAAAATCTAGTGAGCGCTAGAAAACTCTTCAATTGAGTTTGATACTCAGATGTTGTACATTTCTCAATGGCATCTATCTTCTCACTTATCACTTGGATTCCTGCGGCTGTAACTCTATGATCCAAGTAATCTACTTCTAATTTGCCAAATTCACATTTTGAAGCTTTGGCATACAATTGATAGTATCTCAAAACTTGAATAAATTCTTGTGAATAACCTCTATGATCAGTCAAAGTTTTGCTATACATCAATATATCATCTAGAAAAACAATGACAAATTTATCTACATAAGAGCGAAAGATGTCGTTCATCAATTCCATGAATGTAGCTAGTGCATTAGTGAGACTAAAAGGCATCTGTCATGTAACTCGGTATTTAATAAAAATAGTGTCAAGCTAGGATTTCAGGTCGCGAAGGGTATAGGGTTGAAGACGACTCGAAGAACGTCAGTTCTTTGAGTCGAACCTAGTGCGTTGAGAGTAGTGTGAGTAGAACGATCCGGTAGCGTCGACCCGGAATCTCTTCAGTGAGTTAGGCTCGACTTATGTTTGTGACGGTTTGCTGATAGTGGAGTAGTTGAAACTTATGGGTTTTTCAGTGGAAAAAACCACGTTTTTTCACTCGAAGAACTCTGTTGGTGATCCTGTAGTGCAGGATCACGCAAAAGTGTGTTAAACCTGTCATGTTACAATCTGTTCCGTGGCTTTTGTGATTCAATATCGGTGTATGTTCGAAGGTGAATTTCTCTTTTGATTGATCGGGTACGGTTCTTTGGTTTTGGATCAAAGTTCGGTCGAGGTTTGGTTCTTCAGATCGGTCGGGTTTAATAGTTTTACTTTTCAATTCGCATCAATTGTGGTTTGACAGTCGTTATTGCAAGAGGAGAGAGTGTCAATTGTTGCCGGCAACAGTTGTAGAGATCCTCAGCAGAGGTCCTAAACTTATCGGTCTAGCGGGGATGACGTTTAGGCGGTCGGTGAGCTCGTACAAAGGTGGCTTGAAGATTGGACAGAAATTTTTGATGAACGTGGATGCATGGTTAGAGCTTCAAACGAGCAACAGTTTTGACGATCTAAACGACTCTGTCAACTACGCGGACCTTTCCAGTGTTGTGGAGAAGATCGTGGAAGGTCCGAGTTCTGATCTGGTAGTAAAGGTTGCTAGTGAGATAGCTCGCGAAGTGTTAGTGGCACATCCGCTAAGAACGAACGTACGTGTCAGGGTTTGCAAATGCACTCCACCAATACCTAGGTTTGTGGATAGCCAGGGTGTTGATATCTTCCGAACCTCTATGGACTTTGTTAGCAGAAGTTAGTCAAATTCCTAATGATCTCCTCTGCTATCAGCCGTGGAGCAACGTCTAAATTCAGAAACCCACAGACATAAGTTCAAAGAAGACAAACTCCGGGTGCCTTTCTCGAGAGTCGGGAGAGAGAGAGGCAAATTGAAGAACTTTGTTTCTTTTCCTCACTTTGGCTAGTTGGGAGTATCAGAGGTGAGTCACAATAAAGAAGCATTAGTCGTTGGTCTAAATGACAACAACGGAGTCGTCGAAGTTTCTTTTAGAGGATTCACAAAACTTTGGAAAGCTGATCCAATCAAAATCGAATGGGTTTCGAGAGGCTCGGTAGTTGAAGACTAGATAGTTTCGGGAGGTGGATGGGCCGTTGATACTGACGATGCAGCTGTTGGTCAAGAACGGATTATAGAAGGCTGATATATGATCGACTCTGCCTAAACTACTTCTGTGTACTGAAGCCATCAGATATTCCTGATAATCTCGACGATTCTTATCTCAGTTTCCATGTAAAATAAAATATCTAAATGATTCACTATCATTTAGGTGTACAAATGATTCATTATCATTCGTGCAACTCAAGGTGCGACATACTTCTTCACTATTTATACTATACCAATAGCAAGGTGAATAGTGACAGTAGCAATTGAACTATACTTTTACTATGAATGAACTAGCCTCAATTATTTTCTACCTGTGGTTCTTGAGAGCATTGCTAATATCCCAATCAACTTCTCTAGAAACATTAGCAGAATTTTCTTGTAGGGAGTCTTCTAAAACCACATTGTTTAATTGACTCTCTTGGACTTGGGGTTCATATTTACCTCCGGCTCCAGGTAGTCCTTTGCATCCATTACAGCGTCATCATCACATGTTACCTGAAATGGATATGTCATAACATTTACACCCACGATACGGCCCGGGAAACTATAAGGAGTCACAGCAATGAAACCTCAGTACGGATGGCCCAGTGCATCGATTTGATGTGATGATATTTTTGCACAATGCCTTCAATTTTTTCTAGATCCGTACAACCTCAACTTCCTCAGCATTTGCTCACCATCCTTTACGGTTCCTGAATCTAGGTTGTTGACATGAACTTGAGCGCAAAAGGATAGCACCGTCACGAAGGCGGTATTCTTTCCACTCTCCTGGTCTTAGCTCAAGTTTCTGGTCTCATATTGTCACTTGTACTATGCATGATTTTTCTCATACTCAAGACATAACTATGGTACATCTTTGAACTTGGTTGATGACAAACACCGCCAAATTGACTTGTGGAAGCTGCAAGCTGCTGTGCCTGAAGTATCACGGCGTTATAATATCTGCTGACTTGAGTCAAGCCTCTGGCACGACTTTCAAAGCTTTAGTAATAATGACAGCTCGAACGTTGAGTTGAGCTCACTCAGAAAATTTCTTCGCAACAGCTACTTCATATTCTACAGCCTCAGCTTGAGATCTTAGCTCTAGCTGTTATAATAGAGACCTGATTCTTCCAGCAGGGGCTACTAACTCTTTGGCATTGAAGGAAGCGAAAGGTTTTGGGTGGTTAGAAATGCAGTGTGTGTGAAAAGGTTGAAGCTATAGGTTAACTCTTGTATCTAAATAAAGATCAAGCGCAGATAAACGCAGATTTAGACCTAGTCTTGAGGTGAATCTCAATCCTTGTCAGTTATAAGCCCTTCAGCAATCATATGTGATTGTGTATATGCATTAGGCCCAAGTTCATCCGTGGTGTACTGAGGCAATTGTCTCCTTCCATGCATATCCAAACATATCATGTACAAACGACGATCATCACGTTCCGACATGAAAAGTAGAGCTCAAAAGCTAACATATAATAGAACCGTTATAGGTGAATCCATACTGAAGCAAACTTGCACCTTTCCATCCCTTTCCACGTGATGTATCACTCCAATCCTCGATGCCCTTGAAAAAAATAATATTTTTTTAAGGAAAGTGTTTATTTCTCAAGGGACTGAGAGTTTGTATCCGGTCTCACTCACTATAGACTTGACGGTATGGAGAGCATTGTATTTATACATATATGACGTGATCAAAACCATATTAAGCTTTCAGTGCTTAGTGTGTTCATTGAGGTGGCGTGTGACCCCGATTAGAGAATCTCTTTGCGACTTGGTAGAAGAGTGCATCGTAGGCGTTGGAGGCAGAAGGTGATAGCGGGCGATGGAGAGCGAATCGGGATTGCGATGCAATGCGATATCCTGTGTGTGTTTTCTTGTTTTGAGCTATGTTTCTTTTAGACCCGAGAGTCGTTGCTAGTTGTTTGCTTGTGTTTGGATTCTCTCGAGTCTTGCTTCCTCGTGCGCGCCTGTGTTGGGGTGACGCTGATTTCCGGAGTAGTTTTACTCCTATGTGCTGTCGATAGCGAGGCTGAACTTGATCACCGGCCGGCCTATCTATGTTTCTCTCACGGTGAGACTGGAGTGATGATCAGTAGACCGTGAGAGTCATCTTGCGGTGATGACAGGTTAGGTTGCCCATATCCCTTAGCTAGTACAGCTAGATTAGCTTAGTGCGGCACGACGTCAGGTGCAGGGGTTATTGGGTGGAGATCTGGCAGTGGTGCCATTTGAGTTTTTGTCATCACGGAGCAATTTAGTGGTCTTGTTGAAGACCGCGGTGGATATATGCGGAGTGGGTTGAGGTATCGGCTACCTTCATCTATCTTGCCAGTTTTTGCGGAGAAGGACCAGGATGTTGCAGACACAGAGTTTTTGGTGGTCACATCATCCACTGTACCAAGCCCATTGATTTGGGACATAAACGGGATGTACTGGGCCGTGAAGGGCCCTCGACGGTACTCCGATGCAATGGGCACCATCGAGCTCGATGATTTTTATTCAGAATTTTAACACGTGGTGTGATATGTAGTTTCTACGTAATCCCACGTTGTTCACACACTTTTTTGTGTGGAAGGAGTTATTTCAGCATTTGAAGGGTCTTCACATGGACGATTATCATGAGTTTGGAAGAGATTATGCTACAGAGATTGATGCATGGAGACGTCATTGGTCTCCAAATTACTTATCCATTATCCATGGTGATGTGGGTACCAGTGGAGATGCAAGTAGCAGCATTAGTGGAGGTGCTAGTAGTAGCGTCAGCGAGAGTACTAGTGGAGGAGTTGGCGCAACTGGTGCAAGTACCTGTAGCAGTACGGTTAGCATTGCTGGTGGCGGCACGAGTGGAGAGGTTAGGGGCGTACCTTCATTTAGCTCCATTCTTGAGTTCTTCAAGAGGTTGAGGAAGAACTATCAGGGAGTGAAGACGGAGAAGTTGAGGAGTCTCCAGGAGTTCGAGCAGAAGACTGGTGAGAGTCTTTGTGAGGCATACACTCATATGTGACGGCTGATCTCAATTACTCACGGTGTGACTGAGGCACAAGCTATCCAATATTGGTATCGGATTCTGGACAGAGAGTTGCGGAGGCGAGTTCGTGATGCTACTCTCATGAGCGACGCATCATCCACATTAGCCCATGTGTTTGCTCTTTCTAAGAAGATTGAGTTTAACATGGTGGAGGAGAGGGTGATGACGTCTTCATTTGCGAGGGACACGACCACTACCTGGGATCAACCACAAGGACCATCATGTTGGACATGCGCAGGCGGTCATATGAGGAAGGATTGTCCTCAGAATAGAGGGGAACAAACTTCATAGGCTAGACCACAGCCAGCACAGATGATGTGTGATCATTGTGGTCGAGCGGGTCATCCTCGAAAGCATTGTTTTGACCTTCATCCGGAGTTGAGGTCTGGAGGTAGAGGCCGTGGCGGTGATGCTTCACGAGGCCGAGGTGGTAGAGGTACCGGTGCCATTGAATGTACCGTAGTGACTACTACTTCAGCCACAGAGAGCGCTACGGCTATCCTGCAACCTCCGGGCTGACTCTCACTCAGGTTTACCTTAGATAGCTTTTCAGTAGCTCATCATGATTCTAGAAGACTAGGATTCCGCATCATATTCATAAGCTAAACACCCTCTCACACAATCTCTCAAGGTATCACTCCAACTCAAACACTCATCGACACTCCAAGGTACTGAAAATTCGTCACTCTTTCATATATGAAACAAGTCTCTACATATGAACTCTCCAAAATTGCTTGAGAGGCTCTTCCCTACCTCTCTATATATGCTACTTGAGAATTTACCATAGTAACAAATGGTAATTTCTATCTAACTTACTTTTACGAAGATAAACCATAATAAGGTTGACTAGTTATCAATATGTGGCAACATGCCATTGGCTCCCTAAACCTTCTAGATGTTTACTAATCCCTAGATTGAGGTGGCGACATGTCATTTGTGCCTTTCCCACTTCTAGAACTTCCACTTTCCACCAAGTCAACATTAGACTTAGTCTCACCAATGGAATACTCCTTACTTTAGTCAAACCAATCAAAACTAAACATGATGTTCAAAAGTCTTTTCTCTTGGAATCTAGACTTTTGTACAAGACAAAATAGAAGTGCTCACTCAAATCTTTTAGAACTTCTCTAGTTATTCCGCCAAGTATAGACATTATAGCTAAACTAGCTAGACTTAGTCATAACTAGCTAGATTTAGTCATAACTATCTTAACCATGATTAACTCCTTGGCTAATTCTAGTTTTATTTCACATATGCAATATCTGGTCTTACAGTCCGGATTGAGCAGTTGGAGCAGAGGCTTGCGGCTATTACGGGTCTTGGGGTGAGCACTTCCACGTCTTACGAGGGAGATGATTTTTCCTATTTTGCGAGTGCCACACATGTGAAGGCGTTGGTGAACCGTGTAGGTCAGCCTCGGATGGCTTTACCTACGTTGGTTAGTTATCCAGCAACACATGCATATCGTGATGATAGACCTGGGCTACTTTGAGATTCTGCAGTACATCAATTGGTGGAACCCAACGCTGACGAGAGAGAGTGTGCGATGGGGTTTATGACTGGTGTGACCTCAGCATCTTCAGTTTCTGAGGCTTCGCGTTGTCAGGTTTGGGTCAGGTTATGGACCTGAACTGTTTAACGTGGATTGTGAGCTTGGGTTTAGTCGAGCAACGTCGTTTGTGCGTTGA